GGGGGGGGTGAATGAGTGTACTTCTCCTCCCCACCCCCCCGGGGAGGGGTGAATGCAAAACCTGCCACCATACCTGTCTGGGTGCATTGAGGACAAGTGCTTTATGCCTTGAAGCAGAAGGAAAAAAAAAAGGCATCAGTTACAAAATGAGCAGCCGCGTGAAGTATTTTACAGTTTACAAAGCACTTTCACGTGGTTTTCATGAGATCAAGAAAGAAAGAAACTCCTGGAAAATAGCAAGGGCCGTCAGACTTCAGGTTTACCTCCTTTTTAAAGTTGAGAAAACTTTGGAAGAGGGAGGGGAAGAGATTTGGCCCAGTGGACTCGGGACTCGGATCGAATGTGCTCCTCTTCCCATCAGGAGCTGCTCTGTGCTTTGAAGGTTCTGAATACATTCTTTGCTGAATGCCAGAACACTGTTAGGTTGGGGTGGGGGCGGCTGTGGATCTTTGTTGGTAAAGTTGCTAATGACTGGCGACTGGTTGGAGGAGAGCCCTTGCTTCCCCTGGTTCACCCTCTGGGGAGGCATAGCTATGGCCTGCCTTTTCCTCTTCCAAAGTCCTCCACCGCCTGAGGCGGCGTAGGAAAGCTCTGGATGTTTCTGAGAGTTCAAGCTAACTTGCCCCTGGCCTTCTGACCCTCTTAGGAACCGGGCATCTTCTACCTGCCTTGGCAAGGGCCTATACGAAGGTAGATTTTGTTTTTAGTCTCTTCTCAGGGAAATCCAGTTGGTTGGGCGGACCCAGACAAAATGGATTTTCATCCCTGGATTCTGTGCCCACGCCTCTGGGTCACCTTGTCTCCCTTGGCAACAGCTGCCACTGTTTTGGTCGTGGGCAGAAAACTAAAGGCCACGTCTTGGGGGAGGTGGCTAGCTGGCCTTCACGTCAGTGATATCAGCACGTCTGCTCAGCCCCAGAGAGTGTGGTGGTGTTGGTCGAATTGTCCGCCCTCTCTGTGCTACCTTTCATAACTAGGGCTTTGGAAAGTTGGCCAAGGGAAATGTTTAACCTCGTTATCCCATGATGTGTATGTGTGTGTGTGTGGGGGGGGGGTGTTGGGCAGTGGGCGCCTAAAGCTACCCTGGGGTTTCAGAAGACCTCAGTCTAAGGAGATTTGACGAGAGTGTTTTGGCTAATGTATAATCACAATCAGCAACAGCAACCTTTGGCAATTACAGCTGTATCCTAGGATCTTCCAGACGGCATGCTTGCTTATGTTATTACGCCAGCTCTAACCTGTCTCAGTGGTCAGGAGAGCTGGAGCGATACAGGCTTACTGATACCAGGCGTGTGAAAGAGACCAGTGCCAAGGAAGTGGTAAGAGCTTGATTTAGATACGTCAGCAGAGAGGCTATCAGGATACTCTGAGGTCTGGCAGGATGGGCAGAACTTAGACAAGTTGTATAACAGCATCTTACTTGTCACCTGCTTGAGTCTCTGAGTAGAGCAGTAGGCGTCTTCCTGGCAGATGATAAGAGTGGAGTCCTCGCATTTACCACCGAAAAGTAGAGAAGGTGTGTGCCTGTTATGTCAGTAAGAAGGAGCCAGGCACACTTAAGAATGACTGCTCTCGCCGATGGGATCTGTGCCTTGGTCCAGTTGCTGGGAGCTGGACCAAGCTTAAAGTCTGGTTCGTTTGGAAAGGAATTTAGGCTTTCTTATGTCAAAGCACTTTCTTGTGTCAATGTCCAGAGGAAAATGGGGGAATTGAACCCAACACCAGGTCTGACACATACCCGTCTCCCCTTTCTCTGTGAATCCGTTCGTTCTTCTAACATGGCCTCCTCCTGTTAGCCACCTGGACTTTACCAGGCTACTCTCACCCTAGGGAGAGAGGAAAAAGATAGTCATCTTTAAGGTTCCTTTCTCAGACGTCTGGGGACAGACCTTTACCAAGGCTGCAGGAGTGGCTTCTTGGTCTCCTGTCCACCCACCCCTCTCGCTGCTGCTCAGAGCACCATTCTGGTATCGCCTGTTGGAAGCAAGCCCACTTCTGGCTGCCAGGGAGGTGGTCCATCGACTCTCCTTTCTCTCGTTAACCTTGATTAAGGGAATGACATACAGGGGCCGGGAAGAAGAGGGGCCCACAGACAGTGCGTAGCTGACTCTGGGAGTTGGCTCAGAGCTCCGGCTGAACCCAGGAGCCACTTGATGTTGCCTTGACGTTTGGAATCTTGGAACTTGCTGCTTGCACCCAGGGGTTAAATGTTTGGGCCAATTCATGTTACTGACAGCCCCTGGCTCCGAGTTCCTAATCAAATGTTACAGGGTTGGATTTTGTGGATTCATTGATAATGACTGGCCCCCTCCCAGGTCTGTGTCAATATTGCAGGCAATGGGAGAGGATGCAGAGATAAATTTGAGACGGCCCCTGCCTGTAAGCAGCTTCTGCTTCAGTAAGGGAGACATTCATAAGGCATTATTTGCACGTCTAACCACTATCTCATTTTTATTCCCACCGATCAGAAGAAAAAATGAGTTCTAGTATGGAGTGATTTCAGGGAGGAGGTGGGGACTATAATATGTCTTTTAAATATTGTTAGAAGTCACTGTCAGAAAACACAATAATGGCAGCCATCTGTTTTCGCCAGAAAGAGCACAAAATTCAAGTCCTGGACCTTGCGATTGTAATATCTGGATGGATTTAGGAGTTCACTTTAATGTCTCAGATCCTTCACATCTACACCTGTAAAATCAGGATGATATAAGGCCTGCAGGGATGTTTTGTAAACCAGAGAGTTTGACAGATACAAGTATTATGTTTTAGCCTCCTGTGTCTATCGTTCGTTCATTACCAAATTATTCACTCATTTATTAAATACCTTCTACACTGAGCAAGGCAGGGCACCGGTTCTCAAGGAGCTCCCTGTCTAGACTGGAAGATAGACTTGGCCAAAGATACAGGAAATGGACTGCAGCCTGGGGATGTACGAAGCGCCCAGAGACATGGGGACAGACTGTTAATTCTGTGGGAGGAGGTGGGGGAGAGGAGGGAGGGCTCCCTGTAAGGTGGAAAAGCAAAACGAGGGCAGGAGTTATTATCCAAAGGAAGTTTCTGAACGACAGCGTGATCAGGTACATGGTGATACCTGCCTGCAAGAATCAGGACATCTTTATCTCCTGCCTTTTATTAAACGGAGTCCTGTTGTAAATATGGTACCTCGTAGCATGCACCGAAGGGCCAGGGACCTTTGTGCAGCATTTATTCCAGTGTTCAGCTTTCTCCCTTCGAAGTAAAACATCATTTAGTATTGCAAACCTGAAATTCAGGTTTCCTCGGTGCGAACAGTGAGTGACTTTAGACATACTAGCTTAGAACATAACAGTGTCAATAAAAATTGGATACCTTGGAGGTGATTGTGGATACTTGGAATTTCAGAATTTTGGTGGGACCTAGCGTTCTCTGTCT